TGCCTCCATTTCTCATGGTTGTCTCTTCTGTCTCCCCTCCCCCTTCTTTATCTTCCGTTGTCTCCATCATCCATTGTCTCCATCTCCCCTTTGTCTCCATTATCCATTGCCTCTATTTCTCATGGTTGTCTCTTCTGTCTCCCTTCCCCCCTTCCTTTATCTTCCATTGTCTCCATCATCCATTGCCTCCATTTCTCATGGTTGTCTCTTCTGTCTCCCCTCCCCGTTCCCTCTTTCTTCCACTGTCTCCATCTCTCTTATTCCTCGTCTTTTCCATGTCACTTCCACTTCCTCTTTCCTCCATCTGCCATTGTCTCTGTCACTTCCACTTCCTCCAAATCCCTTTTGTCTCCATTTTTCCTGTTTTTCCTCTTACTTGCCACCTCCAGCTCCCCTGTGTTTCTAACATTCATCATCCATTTTTCCTCTTTTCCTGGACGTAGCCAGGTGGTGCAGTGGAAAATGTTGGACTTGGGGTCAGGAAGACCTGAGTTCAAATTCTGCCTCAAACACTTAACTATCTGTGTAATCCTGGACAAAACACTCGAACTCTGTCACCCTGTTTCCTCATTTGTAAAATGGGGATAATCATAGCACCTACCTTACAGTTTTGTTGAGAGAGGACCAAAGGAGACAACATATGTAATGTGCCTTGTTTCTTGTGTCTTCCTTCCCACCCCCACCTCTTCTCCTTCCCCCCCATCCTCCATTGTCTCTGTTACCTCTGACCTCGTTGTCTCCGTGTCCTGTTTCCCCTACTTTTGCCGTGCTCCATCTGCTCTTATTCCCTGTCTACCTTTCTGCTCCTCCTTAGAGGGCTTACAGGCCCAGGAAAGGAAGGGGGTCCTCCAGTGTGCTTGGTCAGGGTGATTCTGGGGGTGAAGTAGGCGACCTTTGCCTTGAAGGCCTGGAATGCCAATGGGTGTGGGCCTGTGGACTGTGGGAAGCATCTTCCCTCCCCTGTCTCTCACAGGTGACACTGGACTGTCCCAGTCACGATGAAATGCCCCGAGTGGACAAGCTGGTGGAAAAGATCATCCACTGTAGCTGCCAGGCTTGCGGCAAAGAGGCCAGCCACGAGGAGATGAGCTTTTTCACGCATGGCAGAGAGGAACACCCTGGCTCCCACGCTGGCCGCCATTCCCTTGAGGTTGAGGAACCCCCTGGTCCCACCCACCCGATGGAGGAGGGGGCTGAGGAGTGATTTCCTCCTTCCTTTTCCCTCCCCTTCCCCCATCCCCCTCCCTTGGAACTCTGCTTCCCACCTTTCTGTGGGGGAGAGGAGAGGCTGGGCCCCCACCCCCTCCCTGTGGTCATTGGATGGACTTGGACTGCTGCCCGGTTGTCACAGCAATTACTGAGAGTAGGGGGAAACAAGAATCCATGCTGCATATGTTAATATATTCTGAGGAGACTGGGGTGGGGGTGGGAGATGGGAACATTGGGGCTAAATGGGGTCCTTGGGGTTCATCTTTCTTTTTTGAAGGTTACATTGACTCAGCCCTTCAGTTACTTAGAGCCAGGGCTAGAGAAGTAGGAAGTGAAGGTCCCTGGCTAGGAGCTGGGCAGAAGGCATTGTACCCCCCCGGTGCCAGGGCCTCAGATGGAGCTAGGACAGGTGTATTGCCAAGGAATAGACGGGCGTTTTAAAAAATGTGGGCAGCGGCAGTAAGGAGGTGAGATTGCAGTGATGTGTAGATGTGTGGCATGGTGGGTGGGGTTGGGGATGGGGTGCAGCAATGTGGCATTGATTCTGGAGTGGGGGAAGCTGGAAGTGGGGAGAATCTTCTTCTCCCCTGGGATCCTCACGCATGGCTCCATAATTTGCTGGAGGGAACATCTGGGCACAGGGGAGGCCCAATCCCCAGGTCTTACTCTTGGCTTTGCTATAGAAACACCTTGGAGTGAGGGAAGAGATAACTTTCTCTGCCAGCCGAGTGGTGCAGATGAGGAGGAGGCTTTGGGTTAACCTTTCAGAAACAGTTCTCTGTCTTCTTCTGAAACACCCCAGCACCATCTGTGACCTACCCTCTTTGGTCCAAACCCTCTCCAGGCCATTCATTAGAGCCTAGCCTAGCCTAGGGAAGGAAGGGAGGTTTTTCTCTAAGATTAAGTGGAGCTTCCTCACCTGTCATCTTCTTTTGCGAGGCTGACCAGAGCTGCCCCTGTAGAAGTGGGGACCCCATTCTCAAAACCTTCCAGGAGGAAAGGCCTAGATCAGGAGAAAAGGATATCCTACCCCATTGGGAGGAGGAGAGGGGATGGAGAAACATGCCAACCTCCATCTGGGTGATCTAGAAGTCTTCGAGGGTTATACTGGGTTGAGTTGAAAGTGTGTTTGAACATATACACTTTTGGGGCTCATTGGGGGAGGCACAGTACCCCCCTCCCCAACTTCTGCTCCTGCTTCTTAACCAACTGCACTTTAATCCTGAGGGAGGGGGTAGAGGACATGGGAATCTCCAGAAGGGCTATTGTTATTTCCCAAGAAAGGGGGTGGGAGTACATCTGCTGCCTGGAAATGCCCCTGGCTCCCCCAAGACCATCCCAGAACTGCCTTTTTCCAGGGAAGTATTTGCCTCATCCATAAATGCACCCCCTTCTGTCCCCTCCCCAACCCTCATGACTCATGGCTGGAACTTGTAACCAGTAGCCTGTCTTCCCTTCTAAATAAAGAAGTTCAGTGTCCTTTTGTGAGCCACTGGTTGGTCATGTGGGCCTGGGCATTTGTGGGTTTTGGAGGTGGGTGGGAATGGTCAACATTTATCATTCAAAGAAAGGCAAACATAGCTTCTGCCCTCCAACTATTTACAAGCAACTATTTACAAACAAGATAGAGGCCCGATGGAAAGGAGAAAATGAGCAAAGGGAAGGCACCTCGTTATGGGGAATCTGGAAATGCTCTTTTTAGAATCGAGGGTGGAGGATCTGCGGCTGCCTGGTGGGGTTTGTTGGTAATGCACAGGTCATGGAGACCTAGGTGCTTACTGGCTGGGTGACCCTGGACAAGTCACTTAACCTCTGACTCTGCGTCCTCACCCATAAAGGGGTTGGATTTGATGTACTCTACAGACCTTTCCAGCTTGATATCTCTGATGCTCTATTCTCCTCCTCCAGGCAAGTTGGGAATATTTCTCCGAGGCCAGGCCCCTGGGGTTCCTTCTTTGCTGAGAGAAAGGGAAAATCAGAGGGGCCCAGGGCCTTCCAGGATACTCCTGCCATGATCTGTGGAAGTGGGAATTTGAGCTTGGATGGAATCATATTGTATGGAAAATGTACCCGACTCCTTGGTTTGGTGATGGGGCAGGTGGGGTCTAGTAATCACAGTAACAATAACTTCCCATAGTGTTTTAAGGTTTATAAAATGCTTTCTTCTTGACAGGCTTCAAGGGGAGTTAATAAAACAAATAACAGCTGGCCAGTGCGTAGCACTTAGAGGTTTTCTTGCTGTTGAGTCGTTTCAGTGGTGTCTGACTCTTCCTGACCCCATTTGGGGTTTTCTTGACAGAGATACTGGGGTGATTTCCCTTTTCCTTCTGCAGCTCATTTTACAAATGAGGAAACTGAGGTAAACAGAGTTAAGTGGCTTGCCCAGGGTCACACAGCTAGGAAGTGTCTGAGGCTAGAATTGAACTCAGGTCCTCATGATCTATCCACTGCATCACCTAGCTGCTCCCTTTGAGGTTTGCGAAATGCTCCACAAATTTTATTTTATCCTCACAACAATTCTGAGAGGTAAGATGCTATTATTATCCTCATTTTACAGATGAAACTGAGGCAAGCAGAGGGCAAATGACTTGCCCAGGGTAAGTATCTGAGGTTGGATTTGAACTCGGGTCATTCTAGCTTCATCTATCGGATGAGAGGACCAAGTCATTGAGGGATGAAATGAAATGAACTCCCCTAAATCACAGAACTAATACATGGCTGAGCCATGGTTCAAACTCAGGTCATGGGATCCTAGCTCTAGAGGTAAACTGGAGGTCAGAGGTCATCCAGTCTAACTCCCTTATTTGACAGGTGAGGGAACTGAGGCCCAGGAGATAGTGACTTGCCCAATACAGACTGGATTCAACCCACATCCTCTGACCTGAGAACCAGTACTCCCACCACTCTACCACGTCCTGTCATACCAACTCCAGGACTTCTTCCACATGACCTTTGGTTGCCCATGGGCACAGGAATGGACACTAGATGAGAACCAAGCAGAGAAACAGGATTTCAGAGCTGGAGGAATCCTCTAAAGATTTATCTTCATCCCTGTTCCTTCTACTTAAGACAGGCTCAGGGACCATGTTACTAAACCAATCCTGTGGAAAGACTACTAGGTTGGAAGTCAGACCACTTGGGTTCAAATCTCCCCCTTTTTAAATCACATACTATCTGTATGGCCTTGGAAAAATGCTTTGTCTCTCTGTGTCTCAGTTTCTTCATCTATAAAATTAAAAGATTGGCCCAGATGACCTCTGAGGTTCCTTCCTGTACCTTATGATCCTACGAAGCATATCTAGCCCCAATTAGTCTTCCATTAATTATCCTTTTTACCACTTCTTACTCTAATCAGTTTCCTTATCTGTAAAAATGAGCTGGAGAGGGAAATGGCAAACCACCCCAGCATCTCTGCCAAGAACTCCAAATGGGGTCATGGAGAGTTGGACACACCCGAAAAATGACTGGACAACACACTCCAGTAAGATCTCAAGAAGGAAAGAACCAGTTGCTCCCAAAAGAAGATGGAAACTTGCTGTGACTTTGAGACCCCCCAAAACTAAAGGCCTTAATTTTTCTATCTACAAAATAGGATTTTTCCCCATCCCCTCTTTCCCTGACAGGCATATGTTGAGCGAATGCCATCTTTAAAACCTCGAGTCCTACCAGAAAAAAAAATCAACATTAGTAATTTGTTGTGTTTTTAAGAGGAAACGGTCTATACATTTGGTTCCACACAACAGAGGAAGAAACATACTTCACTCCTCTTGGTAAAGAGGTGGGGGGCCATGGGGATGGAATGTCACATATACTACAAGAAGGAGTCACTTTGTTAGTTGGATTTTGCTAAAAATTTCCTTTGTTACAAGGAAGAGTTCAGTGTGTGTCTGTGTGTGTGTGTCGGGAAAGGAATCTGATGTTAAACTACTCCAATGGATCTGTGATCTCAACAATGTGGATGTCCCCTCCAATGATGCAATTTGCCACTAACCCATGGCTATGTGATTGTGACCTTTGCTCATGTTCCCTCCTAAGGTTGCCTCAGAAAGTCCACTCAGTAGACTGGGCAGGGGATCTTAATCTCTTTTTAACAACACTGAGGGATACTAGTGTAGCTGATTGGTCATCTCTGTCTGATCTTAAAAACAAAGGCTATTTTTTTCTTACTATAGATTGGGATGGGGGAGGAGAAAAGGTCTGAGAATATGACAACTCCAAGGAGTTGTCATTATCATTGTCCCCACAAGGTGGCATCACTGCTTTGGGAGAATCTAATTTAGAAGGAGTCAGGAGGTTTGAGTGTTTCTATCGCACTGGAGCCAGGCAGGTTCCTTCCCAGGGAATACCAATCCAATCACTTAACAGGGAGGTGGGAAGCTGCAGTTTTCTAGGAATATTCTTGATCTGGGAGACAACAAGCCTGACTATTATATCTCTGATGCTTCATAACATTGAGAGATGATGTAACCCCGCTGCTTCTGAGTTACCTCATCTCTAAAACCCTTTTTACAGGAATAATGAGCCTGGGAGCATCTGGGACAGCTACATCTAGATGGGGAACTGATTCACTGTCCACTAAGTTAATGCAGCATGGCCAGGCAGACTTGGGGGAGGGGGAGGAATGCAGGCATGCAGGTATTATCCAGAGTCCCCCAACTTTCCAAGCCTTTTTGACTTTGAAGGAACTTCATACTGGGGAAAGCCATAGAGAGGTTTGAACAACCATGACCTCTCCATAGAGAGGTCCATTCTCTCTAGCCAAGCTCAGCAGGAACCTTGGTACAAGAATGCTGGGCCTTCAGCCCCTGGAAGCAAAAATTTAGAAGTGAGAACACTTGTTTCTCCGTCATGACTCCCGCCCCTTACCATACACAGAGCATTATCTGCCTTGTACCACTTTTCTTCCCATTATCCCCTCCAACTACTAGAAAGTGGGCAGCAAAGAAAGAACCTAATCATTTGGCCACAATTCCTATCACAGCCTGCTGTATCTTGCTTGAACTCCTATCTGTGTTTTTAATAACATGTTTGATAATGCTATTAAAGAACATGATTTTTTTTTTAGTGGGGCATTCGAGGTTAAGTGACTTGCCCAAGGTCACACAGCTAGTAAGTATCAAGTGTTTGGTCTGAGACCGGATTTGAACTCAGGTCCTCCTGACTTCAGGGCCAGTGCTCTATCCACTGCCCCACCTAGCTGCCCCAAAGCACATGATCTTTAAATATGATTTGTGACCATGCCTTAAGTGTTCAGTTTAGGATTGAGAAGGGAAGATAACTCAAAGGGAGAAGAAATTTTCTCCAATTTACATTTGGGGACAAACCAATGAAAGAACCTGAAATTTTAGTTATAGTCTCAAGAATTCTACCTTTTTTTTTTTTTTTAACCCAGAGAGAGAATTAAAAAGGAAACAAGCCTACGAAGGGAGAGGTGAAGGGGGTTGGTATATTTGTATCTAGGTACACCTTTGGCACTGTTGTGGCTGACACTTACTCTGTTCTGTCATAAAACACTCTACACAACCTACTATATACCTATGACCCCTACCACACATGGGAAATGCCACCCAACCAAGAGTTTTGAGCAAAAATAAATGGAAAAGATCTTGGAAACCTCAGGTGAGAAGAGCAAGTAGGATTCGGGGGCCATTGGGGGGCAGAGATGTGGGGCTTCCAGAATTTTTCCAACATGTCATAGAATCTCAGAATTGGAAAGGAGTTTTCTCCCTTTCCTGTGGCATTTGGAGTCAGGGGACATGGGTTCAAATCCTAGCTCTTGGGCTAGGCATTTTCCTCAGCCTCATTTTCCTCATCTGCAAAATAAGGCTTGTATTAGATGCCCTCTGAGGTAACTTTCAGCTCAAAGTCTATGTTCCTACCTACCTTAGTCCACACTCTACTTGAGCATGATTCCCGCTATTCCCAACATTCCCAGCAAGTGACCAATCTGAAGACCTTCAGTGGTGGGGGACTCACTACCTACCTGGTAAAGGATAGCACATCGGACCTGGAGTCAGTAAGACATTACATCAAATCTGGCCTCAGACACTTATTGACTGTGTGACCCTGGGCAAATAATTTAGTCTCTCTGCCTCATTTCTTCATCTGTAGAATGGGGATAATAACACCTACCTACCTATCTACCAGAAGTGTGGAGAAGACAAAATAAGATAACTCATGGAGCTATATAAATGCTATTTTAAGTTACCTATTTATTTTTTATTACTATAAACTTGACAAAGAGCAACAAATATGAACATTTGTTTTTAGAAAGAATATAAGGAGACAATCATACAATGAACTCCCGAATCTCTTATAAAGAGCTTGAGCTCTTTGACATGACCTTGGGTAGGTCACTTCACTTCATTGTCCCCAGATCCCCAGGTGGCCCAAATTTTGGGCAGCTCTCATTGTTAGGAAGTTTGTCTTAACCAGGAAGGAACCTTAAACTAACTTTCTGCAATTTCCACCTATTGACCCTGATTGTGCTCTCTGCAGCCGAGCAGAGAGACTGTACCCGTGACAGTCTAGCTGCTTGAAGGAACTTGTGCTAGGCTCTGAAGATCTTTTAAGATGTCCTTCTGCTCCGACAAGAGACTGCAGCAGGAAATGTGACCCAATATGATTCTAAACTCTTCGTCCCGTAGAGTACTCTCCAGGCATCCTTCTACGGGCTCGGGAGCGTCTCCTCTCTCCTCCCGCCTCTGGGGTCCCCCGTGGCGCCGCACCCATGAGGGGAGGGAGCTTTGACAGCCCCCATAGGGCATCGGCTTCCTGGTTGTCTCCACTCTGGCCAGAGTGAGGTCTTTGGCTCCAGCTCCCTCCGGCACTCAGGGCGGGAGGAGGCACCTGTGCCTGGCTCCTGCGCTTGCGGTCCTCAGCTATCCAGGATCCAGCCCCTTACCCCACAGGGCCGGGAGCGAGGAGCGGGGAACGTGGAGCAGGAAGCGGGGAGCCGGGAGGCAGTTCCAGGTCCGCCCTCTCTCCCCCCAAATCCACGCCCCTCACCCCCACCCCCGCCCTCGGTGGCAGCAGCGCCTGTTGCAGTGGCCTGGAGCGCAGCCCAGGTAGGGGCCGGCAGGAGAGAGGCACGCGCGCGGAAAGGGACCGGGTAGGGTGCGGGACCGAGGCTCGGAAAACCCTCTCTGGGCATTAGGGTTGGGGCGCTCAGCCACCGACCAGCTCTAACCGGCTGTGCCCCAGCGCCCGACTCCTCCTCACTGCAGACCCATTGCGGGTTGCCCGGCTCCCTAACCCATCAGCTAGACCAGCTGCCTTCGGCTTCTGGTCTCTAGCTCTGGAGCAGACTCCTTAGCCCCCTCCCCTCCCCGCGCTCCTCAGGCCACGCCCCTTCATCCCCTGGGGAGGCATCCCTTGAGTGCGGGTGCAGGGCTGAGAGTGTAGGGGCCTCACGGCTCTCTCCAACCTGGTCCCCCGGACCTGCGCGCCCCTGCCTCCCTTTTCGGTCCCTTTCCTGTTCCACCCTCCCTCGTTCCACCTGGTTCTCACCTTCCCGACCCTTTCCCATCATCGCCTCCCCCCCACCCCTCAGTCCCGCGGTGCAGCGCGCTTCCCTTCGGTGCTGTCCTCGGCTCCGCATGCCCCTGGCAAGCTCCCATCCTCGCTCCTAAATTCGGCTTTTCTGGTGCCTTCTCGGCGTGCAGCGCGCTCCCCAGCGCGCCCCCAAGTTCATCTCACAGCCCACGTTGCACTTCGTTCTCATCTTCATCTTCCTTCTCAACCTCGTGCGCCCCCTGCCACTGCCATCTCTTGTCCCTTGTACCCTTTCATCCATAAAATGGGCAACCGATCATAATAGAAAGCCGACCTCGCCAGGAGCAGACCCCTTGCTTGCTCGGACTCCAGGATGCACCTTCCTCTCCCTCCCAGCCACATTGCACCTCATTAGCACTTCCCTTTGGTTCTATTTCCTCAGGGCCTCGAACCTCCTATCCCCTCGGGTTACTCCGTGTGTCCACCCTCGCCCCAGCCCGCGTTACGGCCGCCATCTCTCCCTCGCCCTTTTTCTCAGCGCCGTGGGGGGCCCCCAATATCGCCACCTTCTACCCTGTTTGCCCCCTCATCCCTTCTGCTCCTAGCACCCCACACCCCCGCCCCAACTTGGTGCCTTCGTCCGACCAGTGCCAGTCATCACTGCCGCCCTTACCCATGGCCTTGGAGCTGGGTCTGGCCAACAGCAGTAGCTCGAGCTTGGGGGCTCCCGAGGGCAACGGATGGGTGGCCGCCCTCCTGTGTGTCATTATCGCTCTGACTGCGGGGGGCAACTCGCTGCTCATCCTGCTCATTTGCACGCAGCCGGCTCTACGCAGCACTTCGAACTACTTTCTGGTGTCTCTCTTCACGTCGGACCTGCTGGTGGGGCTGGTGGTGATGCCGCCCGCCATGCTTAACGAGCTGTATGGCCGCTGGGTGCTGGCACGCAGCCTTTGCCTGCTCTGGGTGGCCTTCGACGTTATGTGCTGCAGCGCCTCCATCCTCAACCTGTGCCTCATAAGCCTGGACCGCTACCTGCTCATCCTGTCTCCTCTGCGGTACAAGGGACGCATGACCCCGTGCCGGGCCCTGGCCCTCATCCTGGCCGCGTGGAGCCTGGCCGCCCTGGCCTCCTTCCTGCCCACGCACATGGGTTGGCACCAGCAGGGTGGCCTGATGTCCCCCAACGCCACTGCCGAGGCCGCCTGGGCTGACCTGGCCCCTGGGGGGCAGTGCCGCCTGCTGGCCAGCCTGCCCTTTGTCCTAGTGGCTTCAGGGCTCACCTTCTTTCTACCTTCTGTGGCCATCTCCTTCACTTACTGTCGGATCCTGGTGACTGCTCGGAAGCAGGCTGTGCAGGTGGCCTCCCTTGCCACCAACATGGAGGCCTTGCAGGTAACTGAGAATGCTGGGCAACAGGCCATCCTCTCTCCCACCTTCATTCCTTCCTCTCCATCTCTAGGAGGCCTAGGTCACAGAGAATCATAAAATCTTAGGGGATCTCTGTATGTTTCTTTCTGGACATTTATAGGTTCAGTGTTGGAATTGGAATTGAAAAATAACAGCTTGAATTTATTACAGTGCTTTAAGATATGCAAAAGTGCTTTCTCCATGACCTTGTGAAGCGGAGAATACAAGTGTTACCATCCTTATTTTACAATGAGGAAACTCCATTTTATACATGAGGCCTCTGAGAGGTGAAGGCAGTAGTCAGGATTTTGAACTCAGGGCAGATTCCCCCACACTTTCCATTAGAGATTAGACCACCTAGCCTTTCTTGGGGAGGCTTTCACATAGAGAGTAGGAACAAGCCAGAAGGGCTTGCTCTAAATTCCTCCATTTTCTTCAATTTCAAGGAAGAGACCCAGTTATAATGCCTGTTTCTTAGGCCACAAGCTTCTGCTCTCTAATTATTTCTGCTGCTGGTATTGGTGGTGGGAGTGGAATCAGCTTCTGGTTTAGCTATACTCAAACATGGTCTCTTGATTATCCATCCAGGCATTAAATTGTCTCTTTTTTTAGGTGGGAAGATCAGTCTGACTAGGGCTAGATTCCTGAATTCTAGAGAGGGTGGACAGAATCCTGGGCTTTTATTGCCTCAGTTTCCTCATCTGCAAAATAGACCCTGTACTTGTACTGCCTATCTCACAAGGCTTTGGGGAAAAATATTTTGTTAACTGAAAACCATAATAGAAATATAAAACTGCATCCCTGCTTTAAACTCCAAGGCAGGCTCCATCCTCTACACCAGAGGTGTCAAACACAGCCAGAAGGCCACATGTGGACCACAACACTCATGAATGGTCCCAAACCAGATTAAAATGGAATTGGGAAACATTTCGTAAAATAAATAAAAATACAATAGAACACGGATAATGTTAATATGTGGTTTTCTAGGTCAATATGTGGTCTGCAGGGACCCTTATGTATGGTTTAGTGGCTAATTGAATTTTGATATCACTACATTATGCCCCACTGCCTCAGCAGGTATTTAATAAATAAATGCATGTTGAATTGAATTGAATTGATTTGTAATGAGATTGTGAGCAGCAGAAAGGCCTATCCTGGTTTCCTGTGGAAACATGGACGGTGTGTTATTTAAGCTGGACTCAGGAAGATTGATTTAAGTTTAAATACCGTTTATGACACTTATTAGTTTTATGGTACCGAGTAAGTCACAATCTGTGAAGTCTCAGTTTCCTTATCTGTCAAAGAGGAATAATAATACTTATAGTCTCTTCCTAATAGAATGTTGCAGGCTGTATTTATCTGGAAACAACTTGTATTGAAAGGAGGAGTACACAAAGCAATTTGTCTCTGCTACAATCCATTCTTCCTTAAGGAAGAGTAGTCAGGTCTCAACTTTACTCTGAGGCAGGGTACTTGGATTGAACTGGACCTGTTTGGATTGGACTGGATTGAACTGGATTAGACTGGACTGGACAGGATAGCATTGGATTGGATCAGACTGGATTGGAATGGACTGTACTGCATTAGATTGAACAGGGTAGGATTGGATAGGATATGATTGAATTGGGTTGGATTGAATTGGACTGGGCTGGGCTAGATAAGTTAGTATTGGCCTAGATTGGACTGAATTTAACTGGACTTGTAAAAGGGCTGCATGTCAGGAATGATGCAGAGGAGATTCTTGGTTAGGTATATGTCTGGACTGGATTTTCACTAAAGTTCCTGCCAACTTGGAGACAATAGGTCTTTGAGGGGATGTTCTTCTCAATGGGAGGGAATGAAGGCACATCCTTTCTAGTTTTAACATTTTGTGTTCCAAGGCTCCTCCCATCTCTGACATTCTCTGTTCTAAAGGCCTTCCCAGCTCTGACATCCTAAGGGCCTAAGGGCCCTCCCAGATCTGGCATTTCTGTTTCTAAGGACCCTTCCAGCTCTGACTTTCTGAGTTCTGTCATGGTCTGGAATTCTATGTTCTAAGGTCCCTTCTAAGGCTGACATTTTAGCAGTGTGGCTCAGGAGAAAGAGTTCTAGTTTGGAGTCAGGAAATAGGGTTCAAATCCCACCTCTGCCACTTTGTGACCTTAGGTAAGGCATATATCCTCTCTGGTGCTTCAGTGTCTTCATCCACAAAATGTGAGAAATGACCTCTAAGGTCATTTCCCATTCTAGATCCTATGATCCTTTGTTCTAGGATTCCCAGCAGCTGTACGTGTACAAAATTGTTCAGAGGAAATTTCAGTACCATGGACAGGACCTCTCTCTCCTGAAGGCTGCTAGCGCTGAAGTGAGTCCTAGGGGTAGAATGAGAGGAAAGCCAAAAGGGCAGGGAGACCCTTTTTGGGAAGTGATGTCAAGGACTCTTGGAGGCTGATGGAATGGGACATAACAAGTAGATGTGGAGTAAAAAATGAAGAGTTTGAATCCTAGGTTCTGCTTCTTGCTACTTCTTGGGCAAGTCAGTTAACTTGAGGAGTCTCAGTTTCCTCATCTGTAAATGAGGAAATTGGAATAGATTATATCCAAGTAGTCTCTGTTCTTATGGTCTATGTTCTAAAGTATATTGCAGTTCTGTCTTTACATAATCTAAGGTCCTTTCTAACTCTGGCATTCTGTGTTACATGATTCTGTAACATGTTAAGTGTTGAGGCACTGGTGGGACCCTGGAATGAGATGGGGGTCTATGACTTCTCTTCTACTGTCCACAGACAGAAATACCCCTACTCCCAGCCTCTAGAGGTGGCCTGGACACATGTTCCCCTTCCCATGTTCTCCCAAGTGGTTGTGGCCACTTTCTGACCCTCTCATTTCTGATTGATTGGATTGGACTGGATAACTTTTTTTTTTAACAGTACTTATTTTAAAAAATTTATTTATTTGTAGTTTTCGACATTCACTTTTATAAGTTTTTGAGTTCTAAAATCTCCTCCTCCCTCCCCAAGACAGCATGTAATCTGGTATAGGCTATATGTATACAATCATATTAAATATATTTCCACATGAGTCATGTTGTAAAAGAAGAATCAGAACAAAAGGGAAAAACCATGAGAAAGAAAAACAAAAACAAATAAAAAAAAAGAAAATAGTATGCTTCAATCTGCATTCAGACTCCATAGTTCTTTCTCTGGATGTAGATAGCATTTTATATCATGAGTCTTTTTGGAATTGTCTTAGATCCTTGCATTGCTGAGAAGAGCTAAGTCTATCAAAGTTGGTCATTGCACAATGTTGCTGTTACTGTTTACAATGTTCTCCTAGTTCTGCTTACTTAACTCAGCATCAGTTCATGTAAGTCTTTCCAGGTTTTTCTGAAGTCATCTTACTTGTTATTTCTTATAGCATAATAACATTTCATCACAATCATATACCACAACTTATTCAGCCATTCCCCAATTGAAGGGCATCCCCTCAATTTCCATTTTTTTGTCACCACAAGAGATACTATAAATATTTTTGTACATGTGAATCCTTTTCCCTTTTTGATGATCTTTTGGGATACAGACCTAGTAGTGGTATTGCTGGATTAAAGGGTATGCAGAGTTAGATTGTCCTTTGGGCATAGTTGAAAATTGCTCTCCAGAATGGTTGGATCAGTTCACAAGTCCACCAACAAGCATTAGTGTTCCAATTTTCCCACATCTTCTCCAACATTTATCATTTTCCTGTTTTGTCATGTTAACCCAATCTGATAGGTGTGATGTGGTACCTCAGAGTTGTTTTAATTTGCATTTCTCTGATCAATAGTGATTTAGAGCATTTTTCATATGACTATAGATGACTTTAGTTTCTTCATCTAAAAACTACCTGTTCATATCCTATGACCATTTATCAATTGGGGAATGACTTGTATTCTTATAAATTTGACTCAGTTCTCTACATATTTTAGAAATGAGGCCTTTATCAGAGACACTGGCTATTAAAAAATGTTTCCCAGCTTTCTGCTTCCCTTCTAATCTTGGTTGCATTGGCTTTGTTTGTGCAAAACCTTTTTAATTTAATGTAATCAAAATTATCTATTTTGCACTTTATAATGTTCTTTATCCCTTGTTTGGTCATAAATTCTTCTGTTTTCCGTAAGTCTGACAGGTAAACTATTTCTTGCTCTCCCAATTTGCTTATAGTATCACCCTTTATCTCTAAATTGTATACCCATTTTGACATTATTTTGGTATGCAGCATAAGATGTTGGTCTATGCCTAGTTTCTGCCATACTATTTTACAGTCTTTTTTAGCAGTTTTTGTCAAAGAGTGAGTTCTTATCCCAGAAGCTGGAGTCTTTGGGTTTATCAAACAGTAGATTACTATAGTCATTGACTATTGTGTCTTGTGTACCTAACCTATTCCACTGATCCCCCACTCTATTTCTTAGCCATTACCAAGCAGTTTTGATGATTGCTGTTTTATAATATAATTTAAGGTCTGCTATGGCTGGGCCACCTTCCCTTGCATTTCTTTTCGTTAATTCCCGTGATATTCTGAACCTTTTGTTCTTCCAGATGAATTTTGTTATTATTTTTTCTAGCTCTGTAAAATAATCTTTTTGGTAGTTTGATTGGTATGGCACTGAATAAATGAATTAATTTAGGTAGAATTGTAATTTTTGTTATATTAGCTAGGCCTATCCATGAGCAACTGTTATTTTTCCAGTTATTTAGATCTGATTTTATTTGTGTGAAAAGTGTTTTGTAATTGTAGAACCAGATAACTTTGGATTGGATTGGATTGACTTAGATTAGACTGGACTGGACTGGCTTGAACTGGACTGGACAGGGTAACTTTGGATTAGATCGGACTGGCTTGGGTTAGATGGGACTGGACTAGCTTGACGTAGACTGGATTGGACTGGACCAGACAAGATAGGATAGGATAGCTTTGGGGTGGATTAGACAGGACTGGGCTGGACAAAATAGTATTGGATTGGATTCATGGAAAGGCTGTATGTCAGGAATAATACAGAGAAAACTCCCTTCCCCTCTGTGGCTCAAATTGCTGGGGACCTTGGTAAGAGATACCAAAACCTAGGGACCTTCCCACTCAGCTGGCCTGGAATTCCATATACATTACCCATAAGCATAGATAATGCAACACACAAGTTGATAGTCATTTATACAGCAATAGCTCATACTTATAAGGCACTGACAGTTTATGTAGTGCTTGCCCTACAAGGCTGTTTTGATATGGAGCCAAAGCCTAGGTTTGAGTTCTGCCTCTGATAAAGAATAGCTCTGTGACTCTGGGAAGGTCTCTTTCCTAGATGACCTCAAAGTTCTCATATATGTGATGGAGGAATTAAAACGGATGCTTTTTAAGGTCCAGTCTCTGCTTTGGAGTTTGCTGCAGTTTTCTCTTCTGTATAGTGAAGGGGTTGGAATATTGGGTTCACTTTCTGGAATCACAATTTAAGAAGGATATTAATAGCTGCAAAGTGTCTTTGTCATGTAAGCATTAGTTGGAGGAGCTGGGGTTGTTTTGCTTGGAGAAGACTAGGTGGGGGTGTGTGTGTGTGTCGTGATATCTAGCTTCAAGTATTTAAAAAAGTGGTGTGGAAAAGGGATTAGATTAGTATTGCCTGACCTCAGAATAAGAAAGAATGGGAAGAAATTTCAGAGAAGCAGAATTAGTTCTGTGTAAGGAAATCTACTTGAAAATAATTTAGAGTAGAAGGGGCAGCTAGGTGGCGCCATAGTGCACAGAGCATTGGGGTGGGAATCAGTAAGACTCAACTCCATGAGTTCAAATCCAGCCTCAGACACTAGCTGTGTGAACCTGGGAGAGTCACTTAACCCTGTTTGCCTCAGTTTCCTCATCTGTAAAATGTACTGGAGAAACCCCTCCAGTATCTTTGCCAAGAAAACTTCAAATGGAGTCATGAAAGAGTCAGACACAACTAAAACAATTCAACCTCAATAAAAGTCTAGTGAGTTGTCTTGGGAAGTAGTGGGTTTCCTTTCACCAGGAGTCTTCAAGTGAAACATCAGGGACTAATTGTTGAGCAAAGGTAGGTAGTTGGATTAGATGGATGAGAAAGGATAGGAATAAAGCATTTATTAAGTGCCTACTATGTGTTAGGCACTGTGCTAAGCACAGCTCAGTATATTATCCTATTTTATCCTCAAAACAACCCTGGAAAGTAGGTGCTATTATTATACTGATTTTACAGTTAAGGAAACTGAGACAGATAGAAGTTAAGTGACTTGCCCAGGGTCACACAGCTAATAAGTGCCTGAGGCCAGATTTGAACTCAGGTTTTCCTGACTCCAGGCCCAATGCTATTCACTGTGCTGCGTGAATGAATGGAATAGAAAAATTGGAATTAACCACCCCCCTCCCCCGCACCTTTTTTTTTTTTTTAGGAACATATCTCTAAGCACACACACAAATCCCATGACAGCAAATACAATGAGTGTTTTTATAGATCAGAAATATTTCCAAGCTTCTTATTTCAAAGCCATCTTTAGTGAAATACAGTTTGACCCAAATGAAAGAATTAGAGAGTACTTTGGATGGGCCTGGACCAGGGCTGGGGAGCCTATGGCCTTCTAAATCCTTAAGTGCGGCCTTTTGACTGAATCCAAATTTTACAGAATAAAGGTCATTTACAGAATTTTACAGAATAAAATTTGGATTCCGTCAAAGGGCTGCACTTAAGGATTTAGAAGGCCACATGCTCCCCACCCCTGTTGACTCTTGTGCTTCAGACATGAAAATGAAGCCTCCCCCGGCTGTACCGTTGGCGTTCTGACATGTGTTTCTACCCCCAGTGGTGGGACTGGGATACACTGAGCCACCCAGAGTCACAAATTCCCACTTGTGAGCAAGGTCATTTCTTTTTTTTTGGGTGAGGCAATCAGGGTTAAGTGACTTGCCTAGAGTCACACAGCTAGTGAGTGTTATGTGTCTGAGGTCAGATTTGAACTCAGGTCCTCCAGAGCCGGTGCTCTATCCACTGTGCCACCTAGCTGCTCCACAGCAAGGTCATTTCTAGGATGACTGGTCGGGGTCAAGGGTCAGTCTGCAGATGAGGTTAGGGCTTAGTCTGAAGTCAGGTTTGGAGAGGTCAGGCTGGGGGTGGTGCTAGAGGAGCACCTCTGTGGCAGAGTGAAGGGTCAAACTGCGGCTATCCCTTGGGGATCCTCAAAGGCATGTGTCCCTCGCAGGTGCCAAGGACTCCAAATCTAGCAGCGTCGGCCTCCAGTGAGAACAGACGGTTCGCTGCCAAGCACAGCAGGAGGGCTCTGAAGGCCAGCTTGACACTGGGCATCCTTCTGGGCATGTTCTTTGTGGCCTGGCTACCTTTCTTTGTAGCCAATGTGATCCAGGTAAGTCCTGAGCATTCCCGAGGGCAGGGTTTGGGGAGGAAAACGCCAAGGCGGTTTAGAGCCTCAAACATGAAACAAACTCTGGGGGCTTCCTTCTTGAACCAGGAATATTGGAGAGGGCGGGTGGGTGTATGGGTGATGCTCAAATAGAGAGACCTGGGTTCCCTGCTGAGTAAATGGCCATAAAAGATGTTGTAGCTGGACAAGTTCCAATCAGATCCAGTTAGTTCCAAATTCCAACCAGACATCTGATATCACTTCCCAAGAGGAAGTACTCTACCCTGGTCAGACCACATCTGGAGTATGATGCTCCCTTATGGGCCCAGAAAGGACTTCAGCAAGTTATAGTGTGTCTGCAGGAGGCTGTCCAGGTTGGCAAGGGCTCTGGGGAACATGCCAGATGAGGACAGGTTGAAGGAACGGGATTTGTTTAGCTCAGAGATCACAAGAGACCTGGAGGAGAAGGGCATGACCACTGCTTCTCAGTATTAAAAGAGCAGCAACATGGAGGAGGAATTAGGTTTGTCTGTCCATAGAGGGCAGAACCAGGAGATGTGGGTGGGAGTTACAGAGGCAGAGTCAGGCTGAGGGTCAGGACAACCTTCCTACCGACTGGAGCTGTCCAAGGATGGAATGAGATGCCTCAGGGAGGTAGCAGATTTCTTTTCATCAGTGGAGTGCTGAGTGAAAGATGGATGGCCACTCATTAGAGATGTTAGAGAGGACATTCCTGGACCACATGGCCCTGAGATGGCACCTAGCTCTGACATTCTTTGATTCTGGGGGAAATTGTCTAAAGAACCAGGAGAGGAAATTAGAGGATCTCTTTCTACCAGGCCCACAGCTAATGAGTATCCTCTATGGCTTAGGGGAAGGAGGGGGCCTTCCCATAGGTAGGGGGATGACGTCAGACTCACTGGGGTGGTGGGGTCTAGAGAGTTAGGGCTTGTTGATGGCTATTAGTGAACCATTCTGGATGGGATTCCGGTAGCTAGATGGAGCCTGGGGGACTGTCTCCAAACTCCAATCTGTTACCTGTCACTGGGGTAGTCACCCAGGGATGAATGAGGCACATTCACATGGCCTTTTCTGGGGAGGCCTGATCGCAGAACCCCGATATCCTCAGGCAACAGGGGAGGAGAAGAAATGCATCTATAAGTCCTGGGAAAGGAAGAAGCCTGGCCACGTGGAAGAAGGAATGACAGATTTGTGGTCAAGAGACCTGGCTTGGCCGTTTGCTAGATTCATATAATGTTAGATCAGTGAGGGACCTTAGACTATGGAAGGTCTGAACTGGGAGAGACCTTAATATGTCAGAGGTGGGAGGGGCCTTAGAACACTGGATGTCAGAGCTGGGAGGGCCCTTAAAACAAAGAGTATCAGAGCTGGGAGGGGCCTTAGAACACAGGATGTCAGAGCTGGGAGGGCCCTTAGAACACTGGAAGTCAGAGCTGGGAGGGCCCTTAGAACACTGGA